AAATTTGAGGTGGGATAATGGCGGCTTCTCAAGAGCAACGAGGTAGGCGATCTTTTGCACCAACGAACAGAAAACTGATGGCGAAAAATAACCAATCAGAACCTCCCAAAAAAAAGAATTTGCCTAAAAACGGAGCTTCGTGGTTCTGCGCAGATTCACCAGTCAGACACGACATCTCAAGGTGGAAAAAAACTCGCTGAAAGCGAATTTTACAAATCAACACAACTTGACGTAGAGACATGATTGGCTAAAAAATACAACGTTTTTTGATACATCGGAAAATCAACCAAAAATTGAAGACTGGGCGAAACGCTCAAGGTCGCAGAGGCATAGGGAATCCCATAGCGATAGCAACGGAACTATTCTAATATCATGGGGAACTCCGTTCCCATGACAAAAGACCCGAAAGACAGTAGAGCAATGAAGCCTCGTATGGTTTCGGCAAGAGCATCCCTTTCCCTTGCACCTTTTCAATTGCATGTGCCTGCCTTCCTGTTACATTTTACCATCCCTACAGTATCTCTTATTGCTTTTTTTCAAAGCTCTTAATGGAGATATGCCTGATATTGTCATTACCTAGATACTCCCTGCGTTGGCGCTCAACGTACAGTTGGCGCGATTAATCGATGATTTGGCAAAAATGCAACGCCGAGCGCGACATTCTATATATCGACGGTGAAACTACCAAACCACGTATCTCGGTTTGCGACGTCGCAGACTTCCTGTCATACTTTATTTTTTAAATGAAAAACTACTTAACATCCAGTCTTGAAAATTTCTGTGATTTTTTCTCTTTGTGCGGAGAAAATTCCGTGAAAATTTCAAGGAATGATATTGATTTGGTCTACTGCAAAAAAATAAAATGTGAGCGTAGATTTTTAAACACCGCAAACGAGATACGTGGTTTGGTAGTTTCACCGTCGATATTTACTATCTTTCAAATCATTAAACACTGTGCAAACATTCTAGCGAATAATTTTCCTGGATATACAACAAATATTCTTAATCTTACCTGCCAGTTGTAATTTCACTCAGCGGCGTTGCCAATTGTGACGTCAAGAGCTGGAACTTGAATGTGTCTTTGTACTGGTTCGTTAACGTGAGAGGACCATCAAGGTTGTGAATCACCCTTCAGTGAAAAAATTTTATCAAATTTTTACTATCGCAGGAACTATCACCTGTTGATACCCGCAAAAATCACGGAAATCGGGCCGGTAGAACGCTCAAACAAATTATGACAAAAAATAAAACTTTACATTGTTTAAATGGGGGAATTCGCAACTTTACCATGTAGTATAAAAAAACCTGGGTCATATTTTCAAAATCTGAATAGAGCAAGCTCATTTAGAGAAAACTGCCTGTCGATAGCCGCAAAAATCAAGAAAATCGGCCCGGTAGAACGCTAGAACCAAGCATTACCAGATATGCAATTTTAGAAGGTCTTGGAGCTTATAGTAGAAGAAGCCTAGTTTCAGAAAATATTTCACGTTACTTGAATTATCATCAATCTACAGAGTGGATGTCTTGTAACACATCTTACAGCTGCGGAAAATTTTTCATGTTTTTAATTTTCACACCAAAAGAAAAAAAAAGCTAATGCTCCAGAATGAACTGAAAAAGTGTTGACAAAGTTTCTCTGCCTGTGTACTAAACCTCGTGATTTGCATTTAATTGTTTATGTAATCTCCCCTCTCAATTGTTTTTACATAATTTTGCAAAAATTAAATTAAATATCTTTTTTACAAGATGTTATAATCACCTAATTCGAGGCGCATTTGTCAAAGATTTCGAGACGTCATCAAATCCTGGAACTCTCTTGATGTCAGCAACCTCGCCTGAAACACCCAGAATGTATGACGAACCCTGAAATAGTGCAAATTGACCGGTAGTTTTAGTGAAAACAAAACACATGTGGCCGGATTCGGGAAAAGGGGCCTCACTTTTACAAAAAAACTCAAAACTGGATAGCAGTGCACTGCATGTAAAAGTGTTTCGTTGAAAGTAAGCCTGCTCCTGAATGACCATAATTGATAATAAAAAAAAAAAAATTGGCAAAAGACTTTTGTAGTTTAACATGTGAGAATGGGAAACTTGAAAATTCCATGCAAGAAGGCCAATTTTCACAAAAGGCCATTAAATATGGCGCATCTATGTCATGACCTTTAAAGGTGTCCCAGGGTAATGGGCAAGAACCCGCTTTTAAAGAGTCCAAAGACTCCAATGAATTGCAAATGCAAGGAAAAAGATTGAAGTGTTGTACTACAGCAGTCAAGTTGCTATTTCCTCTCATATTCCACTGAGGTTTCTTCAAATGAAACGTATTTTGATGTAGAGTTGTTGATTGTTTGCTACAGATAACATGAATGAGATCAGATTCTTTGATTCTGAAGATATAGTTTTGACTTCCCTTCTGTTTCCAAACACGAAGAGTAATTTGACGGAAGTCGTAAGAACCCGTGCAAGATTCTGATAGGTGCCCGGATGACATAATTCGGTTCGACGCGAAAGAGAGGAGTTTTAAATTTGAGGGAAAATCGAGTTTTTTCAAATTGCATATTTTTCTTCTGAGTTACTTTTTCTTGCTTTTAATGTGCGCATCGTGTTCTCCGCGTCGTTAACCTCCAGGAATATCTAGGCAAGTCACAATCCCTTCACGGTTTAGTGACCTACTGTCGAGTTGATGAGTTCTCATGCTCGCTGATTTAATTCTTTCGTCATTCGACCTCGTCAAGCCTCAACTCAAAATCTATATTTTGACAATAATTGATGGATAAAGTGCAAATTAACGCCCTTAGGTAATAAACAAACGATTCGACCCCGCGTAACGTACTCTTCACATCTTAATCTTCCTTACCCGCTCCTCAAAAAGAAGAATTTCTTCCGTCCAGTTGAGAGGCATATGAGTGTCGTTGCAAGGGAGCCCCAGATTCAACACGAGTTTTTCTTGCAGGAATCTAGTCCCATTTACTTGGATGTCAGTCCACTGAAGTGCGCCAAGCGGCGGGATGAGATAGCGGCCATGTATTGGAGGATCCAGTTCAACTTGACACGGGAGACCGTTGAAGATCCGCAACTGCCCCAATCCTGGAGCAGGCAATTTTGCATACGACGGCTAAAATTGAATTTGAAAAACGATGAATAATTATTGGAACAGCATTATTACCGCGCCGTTAAGCTAATTTATTTTCATGGGATATTTTTCTTAGAGGCTGGTAATACTGCCGTGCTAAGAAAGAACGCCGTATTCATATCCGAACGTTTCGAAATTTCCCCCTTGTAAAAAATTTATTTTTATGGAACTTAATAAACTATTTTCCTCGAAATTCTCGGACACTGCAGATTAAATTGCAAATTATATTCTCTAAGAAATTGGGAGAAAATTCTCCTTAAGTCTTCTTGACAATTTGTATTTTATCACACGAAATTTGGCAATAGCTGAGGGCTTACATGACGTTTTTCCTTAGAATGGCAGAATACCCCTCCCGCGCAACTTTGTGATTTTTTTATTTTTAATACAGAAGTAAATCACAAAAATTTTCAAAAAATTATATTGTGTAGTGTTTGGTTAGAAAAAGAAACCAAAGGGAGATCGTGTAATACAGTAAGGCTGATTTTACTTGAATTTACTCGAATTTGCTCAACTTTGCGCTTTCCGACACTAAAAAGTTCTTATTTAAGGACTGAAAAGATTGAACAGTTAAAAAGATTACAAAAGAATTTAAGAAAAAAGAACCTCTTTAAAAAATGTAATTTTTCTTTCGGAAAGATATCATTCGAGAAGCAAAGTGACAAGTTGGGACCACTCGGCCAGCGATCCGTATTTCTTGTTGGTGTATGTACATTAATTACTTATTGATTGTTTCCATTTTCATTTTAATTTCACACCTGCTTCAAAAATTATTTCTGTGATTTTGCTCAGGGGAAGAGCTTTTTCCTCCCAGTGACGAAGAATGGGCCAGTTGCGCTTGTAACAGAATCGTGTTTTGATGCTTGATTCTTGTAGATTAGCTAAAAATAAAAAGATCTGTCCAAACAGCAACTTTCTACGTCGGCTATTAACCGAGATATCGCGCCTTCAAAAACTCGATTTATGACGTCATCCACCGCGGTGGTACATACCATGTGATGCACTACAGTGGTGGATGACGTCATAAATCGAGTTTTTGAAGGCGCGATATCTCGGTTAATAGTTGACATAGAAAATTGCTGTTTGATCAGATCTTTTTTTTTTTTTAGCTCATCTACAAGAATAAAACATCATAACAAGATTCTGTGACTAGCGCAACTGACCCGTTGACTCGTACAACCTGGTATTGCTCTCATATTATTTTTTTATAGGCTATGGGCCCATTCCTCTGATTTCATCATGTCGTATACTGCCGTGCTAAGGAAGAACGCCGTATGAAAATTCGAGAGTTGCCTAATTTACTTCGATAAAATGTTTATTTTTTAGGAAAGTTAGGAATATTTTTACTTGAAATTTTCAGCAATTGTAGGTGAAATTGCGAGCAAACGGATCTGAAAAATTGGAAAGAGAATATTCATATTTTAACAAAGAAATTCGTGATTTGTCAAAGGAAATTTTGCAACGGCGGGGGTTCATACGGCGTTTTTCCTTAGAGCGGCAGTATACTTTTACCTACCTCGAGTCTATACTCAACATAACTTGACATGAGGAATGCGCAGGCGCAAGTCAACGCCCCGGTGGTGATGTATTGCAGTGGACTCTTAACACCCATTTTCCCCAGCATTGGATAGACACTGATCTCAAAAATTGGGATGAGGATGACTACAAACAGAGGGCTCAATAATCCTAACTGGTCCGGTTTGATAGTAAACCAGTTCGGCACGACACCATCCATCTGAGACGCCTGAAAAATCCAACTTGACCCCTGTGGTGGACAAACGAACAAAAAGGAAAATTGAATCAGTGAGAGCAAACACACACCAACTTGGTAACTCGGAAATTCTCAATTTCCATTAAAGACAGTAATTATACATGAAAGTAATTGAAGTCAGCGCATCTGTTCTAACTTCGACCTTTACAGTGTCTATAAGTGCTTGTCTTTCGACAGCCAAAATCTATTTCTTCAACTAACTTCTCCGCCTATTCTGCAGTCTATTGTGTGTCTTGATTATTTTCATTTTTCCGAGTCGGTGTGTTTGGAGCAAGGAGATTCCAAGGGCACAAGTGTAAAGTACTACTTAATTAAGACGATATCACTAATAAACAACACATTTTAAGCCAAATCTACAGAAGTAGCATGAGATGAGCAAAACTTGAATTTTGGAAATCTAGTAAAAAATGTTTTGAACATTTTGAAAATTTTGAAAAAAAGATATGCAACTTCAGGAGGTCTCGGAGCTTGTAGTATAAATTTCACCGTTAACCAAGGCCACCTTTCTCGTGGATCACTGGAAAAAAACACATTGGATCTAGAGTCTAGACTCTTGAAAACATTGACAAGAAAAAGGACTCTTGATTCAATCAGATTTATGCATAAATCAAAAGGAAATCCGCTCAAATTAAGAGGCTTGGTTCTTGATTTAATAATTTAAATCTGATTGAATCAAGAGTATTTCTTCTTGATGATGTTTTTAAGAGTCTGGACTCTAGACCCAATGTGTTTTTTTCCAGTGCACATATTTTTACCAGTAATTGATTAATTCCACGACACTAACTTATACCTGTTGTTCACTGAGAGCCCAATATAAAGGCACTGGAATGAACGTCGGAAGTAGTCGAATCATTTCTCGAGTGTCCTTCAACAGTCGTTGATCAAATTTGTCTTTCGCGTAATCTAGCCAATAAGATGGTTTTTCCGCCAGCTTTGCACATGATAGCTTTTTTCTCAGTGCATACTGAAAAAAAATAATCAGCAAATAACTTAGGAAATTGTATCATGTATGTCGACTCTCCAACTCCTCAAATGTTCAATTTTTTTATTAATTGTTATAGAGATCATTTGAACTAAATCCTGGTAACAAAGGCTGGTAACAATACATATTATAAAACGAGAACTTTTACCAGTTTAGCGCCAATTATATACATTAGAATTATGTATTAGCATAACTATATTCTCGGTTAAAATAAAGTATTCAGAGTATTCCTATGATGCCTTCATAGAATTACCCACCGCACCAAAAACAAGTTATTCTATGAGGATTTCATCTTTTAAATTATCAGATTTTAAGCTATGCCACATTATCATATTACGTTGGCAAGGCTTAAGATTGAAAAGCTTAAAGATAATAATTTCTGATTTTAGTATAAAAGAAAGTATCGTTCGTTTAGTATAATTGGATGGGAAGATGGTTCATTTGTTTTTCGATGAGTAAATTCATACATTGGACCGCTTTTTCCTGGATGCCGCAATCACACGCTGAATTTAGCAGCTGAATGTGGAAGTCGTCAACAGTCATCGCCCAACGGCTGAAATGTAGCAAATTCGAGGAGAATCGTTGCTGAATTTTGCGCGTCACGTGCAAAATTCAGGCATCGGGCCGATGACTTCCACATTCAAGCCACATTCAGCTCCCACATTCAGCGTGTGATTGCGGCAGGAGAATAAGTGAAAGGTATGTTATATTTTAAAAAAATTTGACAGCACTCACAAATATACATTTCATTGCCCCGACCAATATATTTCCTTCTGGCTCTTTCATCATGTACCAAGGTTTCCCGCATACAAACAACACTGAAACAATTAAGATCAGTTTTTTAAACGTGTATATTGCTAAACCTCAGGATACTCCCCTAAAACTAGGATTTTGTAAAATACCATAGCATATAGACACGTAGTAAAAAATTACTGAAATCTCATAGAATCTCCTTTTTTTAAAAAAAATTAAAACAAATTATCTGTGATTAAAAGACATTTTTTGAGGTAAACACGTTTCTTAATTTAAATAATGGATTTTAGGTTAAAGAAATATATTTTTTTTCAAAAAGGTTTTTTTTCTATTCAAAGAAAATTGAATTTGTTATCGATGATGAAGTACCATTTCTTTGAACTAAAAGTACAACTAATTCTAATTTTCCATAAAAAAATTCCTTCACAAAAATGATGTACTTGGATGAAAAGAAAAATTCATTTTTTCAAAAATTGTATTTAAATCGAAAATAATTGTTTTCAATTAAATAAAAAGTATTTGCAACGATTTTTCTCGGTTCATGGCAGTTTATCTCAAGAAGATTAGATTTAAAGTGGAATTTCATGAGATCAAAAACAGCGTTACGAGAATCGGCACTGCTTACCAAGAGCCAAGAACATAAGGAAAGCAGGAACTCCAAATGCAAGAGGGTAACAGGACGGCTGCTCGAGGCATTTGACATCCTGTCTCAAGATAGGGGACACAATAGAGGCCAAAAGTGACCCTATGCTAATGGTAAAATAAAATACTGAAAAAAAAGTCGCCATCTGTTTTGCCTGTTGCGGGAGTACAAACTGCTCTCCGCCTAATGTGCTTATACACGGTTTCATCAAACCAGCTCCTGTTGCCACCAATATTAGTCCAACGAACGTAAAAATTCTGAAGGAAAAGAGTCGTAACATTATTACATGTTAGCAAAAACGACTCAAACAACTATATTTAATACAAAAATATGACCGTTATAGTACACCTACTGTCTAAAAATTTTCTGATTTAAGTGTAATCGGAAGAAAACTAACTGAAATTTTGGAGATAAAATTGAATTGAAATACGATTTCTGAATGGAATTTTTGCAACGTCTAAATATACTTACGTTTTTCTATTTATAATTTGGAAATGGTTTTTACAGTTACATTATCACAGTGAATCAGGGCAAGGGTCCCAACTTAGAAGTAATATTTTTAATAGTCTACGTTTTTCCCCCCAAAATTTCAACAAACGTGACAAATGCGTTTCTTTTTAATTATGGAAAATGTAATTTATGATGATTAAATCAGTCAAAATGAAATAGAAATGTAGAAACTATGTTAAAGTTGAGGATAAATATTATGTCTAAGAATCTCTAATATAAAGTGCTCGATTGTCACGTTGCATGATCCAGGAATTTCCTCCACGATACTTTTCCGTTTGAAATGGAGAAGAATTTTTGATAACTTTGAAATTCGTTTTTCTAGCTGTTTGATTTTCTGACACCCTTACATGTACATTTCCAAATACTTCGAAAGAATGAATTGAAGAGAAAATTTGTGCTACAGCCGTATGACATAAATACCTTGAAGATGATATCCATGGGGTTGATGCAAGAGCTACGGTCAAGTTTCCCACAGTGTGGACTATCGATGAATAAGCAATAGTTCTGCAATAAAAAAGAGGAGGAGGAAAAACAGTATGATGAGGAGAGATTTTCATGGATCGAATTCCACAGTGCACATCAGCTTAAGGTAAATCCAATCTAACACACTTTGTGATAAAGAAAACAAGTTTTTCATATGAGCAAATATGCGATATGAGGGGCTTGGAGGACAAGGCGCGTGCATTCAGTTTTTGAAAAAATTGGGATCACTGGGGGAAAAAAACACATTGGATCTAGAGTCCAAACTCTTAAAAACATCGACAAGAAAAAATACTCTTGATTCAATCGGATTTTTGCTTAAATCAAGAGCCGATCCTTTTAATTGGAGCGGATTTCCTTTTGATTTAAGCAAAACTCTAATTGAATCGAGAGTATTTTTTCTTGTCAATGTTTCCAAGAGTCTGGACTCTAGATCCAATGTGTTTTTTTTCCAGTGATATTTACGATTTCCTTATGGTGAAAAGAAAGTTCAAACTGACTTTTTGATGCTTAAAAATTGAAATAAGGGAGAAAATTTTTCACAGAGTATGCATTGAGACTAGTTTTACTTGAAATCATCATTACCTCATTTTTTCAAAAACTTGTCCTTCAAGTCCCTCGTATGCACAATACATATAAATGGTATTCTAAGATTGCGGGAGGAGAGGAGAGGTAAGTATACCTTTGGTAGTTGACAGATATTCTCAAAAATGAAGTCTGAATAACCATAGTTCGTTTTATCATGATGTTTAAAATAGCGATTTTTTTTTTTTTTTTTTTTTTTTAAAAAAAATGTGAATTAATAAAATGGCCACGTACTGGTATTTTCCAATGTAAGAATCTGCTAAAATACCACCTAAAATTGGAAATGCGAAGTTGAAAAACATGAAACCATGGTAAATTGAGACTGCTTCACTTTCTCTAAAGTGTAGAGCATTTCGTAGGTATAAAGACAAAATTTCTGGAAAAAAAAAACAAAAACAAAAAGTGCGTAAATTGCAGTTTAGTACAAAGTTCCAACAGATCTATTGTTGAAACCTTAAAATTCATAATTAAAAGCTTTGCCATCTGTAGACTGGGAGCGATAAATTATTCATAGATCTAACATAATTGAGTCTCCACTTCACTTCAGGTACCGTATAGCAAATAGTTGCTTTGGTGCCGAATAAATTATATGTACTACTACTACCACAAATAAGCTCTAACTGTGAGCAGACATCGAAAACTTTAAATAAATTGCTCTCTCATGAATTTTTTGTGGTTTTGATTTTTATGATTTTCTACAAAAATAATGACATACAGGAACAAACTAGCTGAAGTTTTTTATTACAAATTGGATAGATTTATGAGCTTGAGGCGTTGGGCACAGTTTTGGGCACAGGGGATTTGGTCGAAGTTTTTAACTTTCTGCCAACCTCTGTTACAACAAAACGAAATTCCCTCTGGGCGACGGCGCGCCTATGACAGTTATTAGTTTTCTTGCTGGCAGCAGCGGCAGCATTGACCACATTCAAAATTCTCGACTCACCTTGGAAGGTGGGTCGAAAATTGGATGGATGCAAACGTTGGCCATAATTCTTCAAGCAACTGAGTGTAGTTCTTGAGTTTAGCAGAGTGTTCCATTGGTTTGCAGCCCTACCAATCTAGTTAAAAAAGTCGACCAAATCCACTCGCCAAGACTCACCTGGCTATCGAAATGCGGAATATTTTCTTAGCCGTTTAAAAAAAGTTTTAAAAAAAATTAAAGAACTCATTAAACTTTTATTTTAAAGCACCTATGTTTTCCGAACAAATTCAACAACAACATACTTACTTCGTAATCCGAAAAATGAGTATCTCTCGCAGAACTCATTACTGATAATGAAGAAGACAGACTTTGGATACTTCAGAGACTGCAAAAAATAAAAACAGTTCATCATAAACGGGTTTTTTGAAGGAACTCTTTACTTTTTTCATGTATGGACAATTATTATTCTATTTTCCAATAATGTGTAAAATGAAAATTGGCTGCTTAAGCAGCTAGCTTGGTATGGTCGTGTATGCAGGCTGACGGGGGAAAATCTGCCAAAGAAGATGCTTGGTTGGGTTCCTCCTGGGAGGAGACGAAAAGGACGTCCGGTGACAGGCTGGTGATAGTGGGTTTCACATGAAATGAGGGAATGCCAACTCCCTTAAGGCTTTGGGAGACAGTGAAGGCTATGAGTTTCAGATCGCCCGAGGACATTGCAAAAGGGACTTTTACATGCGTAAGAAGAAAGTGAAGAAGAAGAAAAACTATAACCACATAAGAAGAAATGCCGAGAGTCCCAATAGCTTTACTCCATAGATGTACGAATTAATTCAATTAGATAGAAAAATCGACGAGATTCCTCAAGAATTTAAGTGTTATAAGTAGCTAACTCTTTACCTTTTCAGGAACTTTTTCACCATGATTATTGGCAGCTGTCATTTTATGAAGCACAGAAACTTACAGGAGATATTTTTATATCACGAATGGAGAGAACGAAATATAGCTCATTATAGGTTGTCTGTACGATCTAAAGCCATAAAAACTACAAAATATTATCCTTATGACGTGTTAGATGGAGAACGGCACATAAGATGTTGAAAATGAAAGAAAGGCGAAAATTAATTTTATTTTTTTTCGAGATGTATCTTCAGGGAATCTTTTATCACTAAGACGTTACTTTGTTATCTAAATCCCAACCCATTACAGCGATTGAGTTACTAAATAATCTAAAAGAGGTTAGAGGACTTAACAGAATGAAACCTTGGGAGCTTGTCACCAACCCTGACACTGATTTCTAAGACAAAACTATTTTTAGGATCAAATTATTTACGTCAACTCATCTCATCTGAAACTCACTCATTAATCCATTGACTCTTTATGAATGTCTTTACTGATTCCGAGTCCTAAACTCTAAATATTTAAAATTATATAATTGACTAACTGTAGCTAGTCAATTATTTTACACCTTTCTTTCTTAACTCTTATGATATTAAGTAATTAATCTGTTGTTACTTCTACATGCATTACTTATAATTCGAGCTAATTGTATATATTTCTTGTATTGGAAGCTTACAATAAAATACTTAAAATTTTTGAACATTTTGGCTTTTGATCTCACTAAGCACCTAGAAATCAAAAAAAATTGGTTTGGTTCGAAGGACAGAACCCATGTTGACCAATGTTCTTATGTTTTATTTCCTACCATTTGTTTATTTTCAATCCTTTTATAAAAACTACTCATTTGCTGTATACCATTCTAGCTGAAGCGCACTTAAGCTATGCATTCACCACTGCAAAAATGTCAAAGGAAATCGACGAGCCCAGCGTGCATGAAGGCTAATTCGATTGTAATCTTCCGTCGCATTTCTAAGGCGCAATGATACAACTATTTGAACTCTCCGGAATGTGTGAGGTATCACGCCGCATTTGAAGGCGTTTTCAAAACAGCCAGCTTCCGATATCCGGATTATCGTTTTGCACAGTTCATATTCTTTTATTTGTATTTCTTTTTTTTATATATATGTAGGTCTTAAATATGCGAATTCAGTCACTTAAAGAATTTTAGAAAAATGACACAAAGTATCGTTTAAGCGCACGTCGTTATTTGATACCACTCATTGACGTTGAATCTTGAGTAAAAAGTAAGTTATTCTTAATTTTACGCGATCTCCCTCTGCCATTCAACATAGTAATCTTTGTTTTTCAAAAAAGAACCTTCTTTTTAATGTTTCAAAATGTTTATTGTGTGGCATTTATCATCCTCTAGATATTTACCTAGAAGCGACCAACTCATTTGAATAATATTTCTTAACGTTTTTAACCATTGGGTAAAAATAAGGAGATCTGTATGGTTAGTATCGACGTGTATTGTTGACTATTTTAAGTTGGGAGATACACAAACTGATGATATGACTATGATATAGTTTCATTAACATGCTTTTTTCAGATTACTTTGTAGGATGACTTTACTGCAGTATATTTTTCCAAAGGCAAGGAAAAAGCGATTACCTATGATAAACAAATTGTAATTGTAATGTCTCACTTCATTCGTTGGGGGAATACAGATCAAAAGTTCCGTTCAAGCTGATTTTGAGTTTGAGGGGTTTTTTTTTCAAATGTTATAATAACCTTAAGAGAATTTAACTCCATTATAATATTACATCGTTCTTCTTTCAGAAAGAAAATGCAGGATTTTTGAAACAAAGCAATTGAATGGAGGTTTTTCTGTATAGTTATCGATCCGTGGCAGTCGGCCTTCATTATTATTTTAGCGATTTTTGAACATTCTTTAGAGTTAATCAACTCAACCCTCAAACCTACGAAAACAGAATCGATCATCAGGGCTTTTACTGCAAACACCATATTAGTCTGTTACAGAAACATTACTTTCTCTTCCCAAAAAAAAGTTAGGTAGAACTGGATTCAAAAGCTAGTTTAAGTGGCATTTACCCAGTTTCAAGCGGCAGGCAGCTGTTACGTATTCAACAGTGTAATTTAAACAAGCGGACACCGATTTGAAAATTCCAGTGTTGCCATATCTCCTACGATTGAATATATTGTTTGGAGAAAATAGAAGTTTTTTCTCTTCGATTCGCGGGGACTTTGGATTGAATTGTGAATGGAAGTTTCTAAAAATTGGGAGAAATATCCGCAATCTTCATTAATATTTTTATTTTATCAAAAGAGAAGCATAATGAGACACAGGCTAGAAAAATTGTATCTTGCCGTGCTGCTTCAGTGTGGTTTTCTGCCCTGATAACTGAGAACGCCGTCTAAAAATTCATTGTTGCCAAGTTTTCTTCGGTAAAAAAGATCATACCTGAGGAAAAAGCTATTAATTGTCGCTCTTCTGACGTCAGGGCGTGTCTCAATTTCCACGAAAACCCCGAAAAGCACAGATTCATATGTGGAGCAGGGCTCACTTGAAAATTGGAATACGCTCTTACGTCAGAGGAGTTACGGATTTTTTTCCTCGAAATTTTCAAACATTTCAGATTCCATTTAGTTGTTTCCAAGAAAATGCAAGCTTTATCGGGAGAAAGTAGGCGGAGTGTTCGCTCGGCATTTCTATTTTGTACGGCAGACTTTACAAAATACGTTTTTTTGGATAAGTGACTTTCCGCTGTCGCAAATTCTTGGGCAACTCTTGTACAAATGTTCATGTTGCTCAAAGCTCATCTTGGTTTTGCTATACAGGCGGATGTTTGATACCAGTAGACTACAACAAGAACGAATGTAAGCATTATTATACATTTTGGACTGAGATTAAGACAATTTTAGACGTCTTGGTGTTTTGCGCTGCACTTTCCCTTATTTTCTTTTTTTATTAGTAGAACTTCAAGGTTCAAAATGAAGCCCCATTATATCGTCACCTTCCAGGCAAAGTATCACAAGCGCCATGCGACGTTTACAAATTTCCGCCGCCATTTTATTTTTTTACAGAGAAATTGTTCAACGAAGCTGTCCGAAAATTTCACTGAATTTTCTTTGTGCTGCCGATAAAATTTAGTGAAATTTCCAAACAGATTCAACCAACAATTTCTCAGTAAAGAAATAAAATGGCGGCGGAAATTTTTAAACGTCGAATGGCGCTTGTGATACTTTGCCTGGAAGGTGACGATATATGTCGCAGGAAATTTGCAGTCGCCGGAAATTTGAAGCGGTTCACATGTTGTTACAATATATCGCAATGATGCGCATCGGCATAATGCAATTTTTAAGGGTTCTGGTCTTCAAAATTATGAGCTCGGCTTGAAGCGCCTTCATTTTTTGTGATACTCTACGCTTTGTCACGATGTTAGTTTAGTTGCCTGTCCGATCTCAACCCGACTAATGTCACTCAATTCACTGCACGCTCTTAGGAGTGTGCATATTTCTGCCATGTTTTTAAGGATGGAAAAGTGTCTATTCACATCATACACAACATAATCAGCACTCTAATCTTGTTCTTTTATTTTTGAATTATATGATTTTCTGCATTTATTCACCACTGGCTTGCAAATTGCCGGCGATTGCTAATTGCCTGCGACATACAGATACAGGACCCCTGCACCCCTACATACCCCCTCTAAAATCCTAGAAGGGCTCTATCGCCCCACAATTTGGATTCTCTGAGGTTCCCTCTGCCTTTAACATCTAAATAACCTAACCTAGCCAAACCTAACCTAACCTAACCTAACTTAATATAATAAAATGGATTAATCCGACTTCTTGCACTTCTTGCGACTTAAATAACCTGGTAAGAATCTAGAATGCAGGGAGATAGTTTTTCTGAAACACCCAATATCATGCCGTTCTAACTTCCAGTTGTTTGCGCGAGTGCTTTCAAAACGACAATTTTAAAATTTCTGAAACACTCGATGCGTCTAAAAAAACTTCCACTCAAACAACAAAGTGCAGTGGAACCACCAAGATCCGGATGAAACCGAATGTTGGGAAATATTCCCGAGTTGTTTTCCAATTCCAGTGAATCACGAGCAAAATGACATTTAATTTGCTTCTTAAATTCAGTCCCATACACCCAGTGAGGCCTCTGTCTGGGCGAGGAAAATGACTTAAATGAACAAAATGTGCCGAAGAGATGCATTTTCAGCCATGAAATTGCGTTCAAACGGCATGAGACGTTTGAGGTCAAAAATTATTTGCATTAAGATAGTTTAACAACACAAGAACCAATTTGCACGTTCCCTCGAGATAAGAAATGGACCTCTTTATTATTTTGGGCCTTTTGTGGTCAATTCGTCGTTCCTCGAACAAAGGAACGTAACTTTATTACATAAGGTTTCGGAATTCATTCTGGTAATTCAATGTTCTACAAGAATGTACCTGTGCAATTTTTGTTCAATTTTTTAGAGATTTTTGCACGAGATCGGAAGCAAAATCCATATACTTTCCCGGTAAAAATTCTTTCCTCGGGGACATTCTTCTGGTAAAAGTCCAATTTGAGAGCAGAGGAAATTTTGCAGCATTGAAATGTACTTACGTTATACATGAGGGAAACGGTAAATTCACCCCGATTTCATTTTCTTTTCCCCAAAATGGAACTGGAAAGTGCATTTTATGTTCTCTTATGTTTTTTTTATAATTTTAATTGTACAAAATATGAGATTTTTACCAACAAATGTGAACTGTCCTGAAAAATTCAATTATTTATAAGTTCCTGTGGGTCAATTTATTTTTTGTTCAGAAATGATAGTGATAACTTTGTGAAAATTTTTGAAAATATGTCCAGTTTTCTGTCATATGCAAACAGACATTAAACAACTGCCAAGTTATCCGACTCGAGTTCAACGCACTCTCTATTATAGTTCAATCACAGTTCGTGAAGTAAGATAAATGTGTTTAGTTCGGATAGATAATTATTTGCTATATCCCGGTAGGTTAGTTGCCTACGCGGCGATATTGAAGGCAAAATGGACAATCTAAGTTCACAAAATATT